CGATTAGTGATCTCATCAAGTGATTACACCTCTGTATGTATTCTATTTCTATTTCCTCAGATCTTTCTTAGTATGCATTAACAAGGTCCACCTTGAGCCAATTCCTCTTTTATAGGTGCATTTAATTACAAATGTCTTCTTTGTGGTTTAATTTTAACGAGTGAGTTATATAATCATCTTAAGTAGACGGCACCAACGTAATATTTGATATGAAACAATAAACCTTAGGATAATTGATTAAAGTACACTTTGAATTTATATGCCGTTGAATGAGCAAATGTCAACCTTCTGGAGAGTCACAGATATCTATTAGTTAAATCTTTTAATACTCTTGCTTACGACCTTGATTCAGGGAATCTTAGTTATTTTTAAATTATATGGTAATCTGTTTACAATACACGGTTTTTACAATAACAGAAAAAGCTATTAAACTATAAATTGGGCACAGACATTTATGTAACACGTTCAGTTTCGCAGAAGAATTAATTTTGGAATGTCAGTTATTTTTTTCGCCGTTACATTGTTTTTGGTTGGCAATCGACAATATGGAATATTCAAAATATTTATGCAACATGTTAAAAGGTAGGAAATGTAAAAATCTAGGTTTTGGATACAGTGTTAAATTTTTAACAGCTATAGGTGTGAGAACACCTTTAGCTATAGTTCGGACTATTGACGAGTAAATTTTGATAAATATATTTTTCCTAAGTATTTTTTTTTGGTTTGTATTTATACTTTTCGTTTATCTATAGTATTTAAAACTGTTATAGGTAAGCAGTGGATTTTCAAAACAAGGTCAGTAAGGGCAGTTAGAATATAACGTGAAAAGTATTCGTGAGTTTTCAATTTGCTTTGATCTTATAACCGTGGCTCAATTACCTTATATGTTGGTAGTTCCATAACATTTAATTGATGGCATAGAATATATTACTATCTTATTTAGCTATTATTTTAATCAGTATCATCTTAAAAATGGCACATCTTTTCAGTGTTACATATAAGTTAATGACCGAATCCGAATGCTATTGGAAATCTAGACTATATAATCCTTAATCAATTTCTTAGAAAGATATGTTAAGGACACCAGTTTTATAGCAAATAAATAAATAAAACTTAGTTTTTTCCTTATTCTTCCAATAAAGATTTTGGTTTAGTCGCCTTATTTCTTCAACTTAATGTTATCATGTTCAATTCCCGAGGTTTGCCAGTCCCTAGGGGATTTAGCAGAGAACCGGATTATGATGTTCCAGTGTCTTTTTAAGGAAATAATTCTTTATCAAATATTTTATTTGTTCTTACATTGAAAGTTACTTTTACAAAGACCTTTGATCATACAAAACTAGTTTTTTATTTGATCTTTGATTCATGTCTGTAGTTACATAACAAGAGTTTAAAAATTTTAATGATACCATTTCACCTCTACCGAACTGTGAAAAGCAAACACCATTAACTCGTAAAACTACAGACATCCAGTTGAATCTTGTTCAGACTTAGCTCTGAAAATACTGACTCATCGCAATATTTGAAAAAAGAAAATAGTTGAAAATGAATAATGTAAATAAATTTTATGTGAAACTAGCTACTCTCGCGCGGTTACACCCGCTGCTTGGCTCCATTTAATCTTAGCGTGATGTCTATAGCACTCAGGAGCATTGTAGCTATCTATCAGTGAAATAATTTTGGAAATCCGACCAGCAGTTCCGAAGATTACCCCCTACATACAAACTTACAAACATACAAATTTACAAATTTTACCTCTTTATAATATTATAGAAGATAGAAGATTATTAGTATTAGTATATAGTATAGATTTACTTTAAAATTCCAACAAATGAACATTTCACTACCGATTCGTGTTGTAAAATAATCACAATAAATCTCAAAGGGATCTCGGAAGGATCGCACAATTGATATAAAATCTTCTCGATCATAAAACCCAGATTAGTGTCGGGATTGTCATCTATACAACCTTAGGTAAAAAGTCTCGACAAATCCGCTGAGAGTTATAAAAAGAAACACGCCGTATCAAAAAAGACAATTTTCGTAAAATATAGAGCCTACCGATGTAGTACAAGTATTATTTTTACATTTTATAAAATAAATTTTTAGTATACTGAAATGATACCTACAACAAAATAAAAAAGACAACACACAATGTAGTCCCTAGGTACATATTTTTTGTTCCACGCCGTAGTTGACTTCAGTAACGGTAACTGGCCTTTTTTATTTTTTACTTTTTACTCCCGAGATTGCCGCCAAAATTTGTTTCCGAGCGAAAATATTCTGCAGCTATAAAAAACAGCACATATACTGAATTAAATGGCATACTAACAGTTAACACATTGTGAAAGACATTATTATTATTATTTTATTTGTGCCTCCGACAAAAATGTTTTATATGGATGTTCTTGAATTTGGAAGATATTACTTGAAGTTAAATGAAGACTTTCCAGGTTTCTTACAGATGACGATCTTGTCAATTCAATGACACTTTCAAAGAACGTCTTTTTTGGTCATCATTTTAATAGGTATTTACTTATGAAATTGCCGTTTTGCATGAAAAAATTTAAACGATTTTTTTTATTTGAAATGCGATGAAAATTTAACACTAATCAATAAACAAATGACTATTTTTGGAAACAAAATTAATTAGCCTTAGCCTAACAAAAACTATTTTGATTTGAAATGGCCAGTACTGCAGAACGGCAATTTCATAGGTAAAGACCTATTATTTAACCTCTTCTGATCCTACAGATATGAAGAGAATAATAATAAACACTAAAACAAATACCTAATGTTTAAAATAAATTGAGAACACAAATATTTTCTCTTTGGTTCAGAGCTCTATTCCTAGTCATGTATTCAATGTAGTAACTTTGTACTGATAAAACAATACAGCTGAGAAAGCTGGGCTGAAATCAAATGTCTACAGACATTATAGTTTGGTTTATCCGCTTTATTCACTATCTTTCTGCGAGTTTGGCAATGAAAAGGTAATCTTTCTCGCAAGCTGTCGGTTTTGGAAAAAAAATTATTACTGTGTGAAAACTCAAATTATATCTTCTACGAGTAAGCTCTCGTACTAAAATCTACGTGAAAACAAAAGCATATTTTGTCACATGCGTTTAAATATCATGTTAAAAGTTAAGATCTTGTCATAAATGTTTTTTTACAAAAATGTTGGTGAGACTTCCACTGTCTTAAATGTTTATCAGATCTCACGTAGAAAGGGGCTTAAAACTAAGTTTCTAATTAATTATTCGCTTCGTGAAAACGTTGAAATGAAAAAGGGATAAATGATAGCTTGTATAAAATTGTTTTCTTTTAGGTGTATTATAATCAATAATCAATATAATTATTAATACTAATAGATTTTTACCTACTATAAAATGAAAATGTCCCTACATGACCTAATCAAAAACTGAGAACTGAAACAGGCAGATCATTGACCTCAAAAGAAAATAATAAATAAACACGTACGAAAAAATTGTATTACTTCACAAAGACCGGAAAGTTGTATTTCATTTGGCGAAAAAGTCTTGAAAACAATATCTGACGAAAACCAGATATTTGTAATGAAGTGTTTCTTTTTATACGCTTCTTATTTATTACTCTGCATAAATAGCAATCTGCTTCAGCTACGACTGTTTTCATTTTGGGAAGAAAATTCTTGGTTAGATGTTTTTATTTGCGTTCGTTCGGGCTATTTAAAGATGGCGGTTGTTGCTCGAAATGAGAACTAATCAACTACGAATTGCATTTATACAATACTAGCACTGTTTCATCGGTTTATTGTGAAAGTATATTATAATAATTAAGATACATATTTACGATAAAGTTAAAACGTTAATAGAGTAGACGTCATTTGTAAATTTTTTCATACGTTCTAAAGACATCTGTTTAAAATTTTATACTTTATATTGGAAATATTCTATCCTGTGATGGGTAGACGACGCGGATTCGGTTGTCATTTGCCCCTGAGCTTTGGCGACGGAATCCCGAAAATTACATCTTATATTACACAAAAAGGGAAAAAGACGAAATGCAGAGATCGAGAGCGTTGAAGTCGGAGATCAAACAGGAAAATGGAAAATATAACAATGGTAGCAGAAATGTTGGGTCCAACAATAATTTTGACTGTCACGGAGTTAATTCACGAAATTGACATGTTGCTACAATGATCGATTTATGAGTTGGGTCATATTTTACAAACATTTCTGACAACTGTCACAATAGATTTTAAGGTTAATTACATAGTGACTATTCTACATCTATCTCCGAAGTTTTGACAATAGGATAACATATTGAGCGGTACCGTTGTGATGTAATGTGAAACTATGTTTTATCGAAACATTCTACAATAGAAGATATAACATCTACAATTTTCAATGTAGGTAATCCTATCATCCGTTGTGCCCATACTATCGTAATCCTAACAGATAGACCTTTCGCGTTCGAACGGCGGAACAATAGTGACGCAACAAGATTCCAAAGCCATTTCAACCTTTGTAGTGCTGAAAAAAGACAAAACATTTACGGAATATATCAGAGACTATTCTTTATCCATCATAGAAACTGTATTAGCCACAGTTGTACAGTCTACTGCTATGTGCAGCAATCGACCATGACCTGGGTAAAAACGTTATTCCAAAAATACGTTGGCATATGTATGAGTATACCCACGATTTTCACAAGAATTCTGTTACTGCGGACAGAAGGTAGACTACACATTCGGGCATAATAAATAGATAATAAATCCTTAAGTACCGACTTGTTAAAGAAACATGTCTAAGAAAAATGCGATGGAAAACTCACAACAAAAATAACCTGCGGTTGGTATAATTAGTGTAAATACTAGAAAACGGTTGTTTATTTACGATATCGGTTCTAGCTCGATTTCTCGTGTTTGTTTTTATAACGTGGCCACATGTTTAAAGAAATTGTATCATCTCTCGATGAATTGAATGTTGTTTAAGTTTTGTTCGTTTTTGTTTCAGAAGATGGCAGACGAAGTGTGTGAAGCACTGAAGAATGAGCCATGATCGAAAACTTAACAGAAAATATGTACGGTATCAAGTTACTCGTCAGCAAAGATTTTAAACAGAACAATGTATGGGGGTCTTTTAATAAGACGGAGGCAGTCGACACGAGTGCTGTCAACGTGTCGAGAGTGAACCAGACAATATATTCACTCAGTGACGATGAGTACATATTTGATAGGACGGATGTTAGAGCCATATTCATTACCCTCTACACGATCGTGTTCTGTTGCTGTTTTTTTGGTAAGTGTTAGTAGTTTTTTTCTCTAGTCCAATATTTTAAGACATTTAATCGAGTACAAATACGTAGCGACTAAAAATATCGAGTCAAAGTTCGATGGAACATAGAGTATATCAATATGTCAGAAACAGGTATTAGGTAGCATGTATGCAATTTTAACGTTATATTTAGGTTTGTAAATTGAATACTTTTATAAGCACAAGAAGATAAACGTCGGAAGTATTCTCGTGTGACAACATACATTTTGTTCTGTACAGAAAACTAAAATTTTTCATCATCATTTTTATTAAATAACAATTGGTTTGTTTTTGAAATGGAAAACAAATTAAAATCGTCACGATACACAGTATTTTAGCTATCTGTAAAAAATATCATAGCTGACTTCCTTTCAGATTCTATGAATTTCAAGACATTCAGAGCAATAATTGTGTCTTAAGATTTATTTACTTGAAGAAGGCTGAAGTTTTCAGCTCTTAATATTTCCGGGAATTTTGTGCTTGTTTCGCTAAATTACGCCCAAAGTCAAAGACTAAGAATTTTTCTCATTTTGTGGCTTTTGGTAATTGATTACTTTTTAAACACTCAGCCATTTAGAATTCTCCAAGTTTCTTGAGGGTTTTGTTTGTGGAGTACATTTGTTATTACTTTTCCTTTTGTAAGTGTTTTTTTTTTCTTTTATCATAAAATCTGTTTCAAAATAGCAACAGGCTTAAATAAATAGAAATAGTTCACATGGAATTAAAAAAGAAAATATAAAATACCTTTAAAATTTATGTCAAAGTAAATTATTATTGGATATAAAACTTTTTTACCCACCTACATATTTTTTTATTTGTAAAAAGAACAATATCAAATATCAAAAATACTTGAAATACTATCTTGTAATACTTACATGAACTTAATATAATAAAGACTTAAACTATTTCTCTTTGATAGTAACTTCTTGATAAATATGTTTGGCACAACAAAAAAAGATTTTCTCCAATTGGAATATTCCCCAAAGTATTAGGAGGTATCTTTACTGACATTCTGCACATCATTAGCAGCACCATGAATCAAACCTGTCTACATAACAGATGAATTAAATAGTCATCAATTAGTCATCAATAATCATTGACATCATCAACATTATTTGATGAGTACTCGGTATCTGGTGGCATCTCTCAAATATTAACTGAATCGATTTCTGTGAAAATAAACGAGGACACAAGTTTCAAGTAAAAATTATGTTTTCAAATATAGGTAGGTGTATTTTTATATGGATGTTGTATGTATTTTATGTATCGTAATAATGTTTTAATATCCCAGTCAAATCGTAAAAATTCTTCAGTGTTGTAACATTAAAAAAGAATTGCCCCTGTCTAGGATTTTCTCTTAAGTCATTAGGTAAAATATATGTATGTAATAGGTGTGTTAAAATATAAAAATTCTCATACACATCACAGACTTGGAACAAGAATTAATAAAAATAACCGATTTCTGACAATTAAACCAAAGATTTCAATGTATTATTTTATCTTTATTTAAGAATTTTATTTTTAATAATTTAGGTCACTACCAACAATACATTTGATTTAGTACAATAGAGAAAATATTTTTAGTAAGACCCATAATATAGAGACTCTCTCTGCTTAACATATTTTTGTATTTATTTATAATCTGAACGAACTTTAAACAATATAAATGATTCACGTCATATTGTCTACCATAGCGTGTGAATGACCTTTTATTTAAAAGTATGTAATTTATCCTACGTCCATGCACGATGACAGTAAAGTTTGAGCTCAGAGCAATTAGTCAGGTAGCCAACTAACAAGTTAGTTAGAATGTCAAACTCTACAAATCCTGTTTGCCAGACTTGGCGTAAATTTTACATCAGCGTTTTCATTGTGTAAATTTTATTGAAGCCGAAAAATTTTACGGCGTATTTAGATCTGGTTACTTATTTTAGCCGTAGTGAGAAATCGACGAGATTAAATTTAGAGATTGCTTTATAAATATCGTATTGTGAAAGAAAGGACGTACCTACCTCCTCGGAAATGTTTACGAGCCTCATAATTCTTTAATGAAGCTCTACTTACCGAAATCTGTTTGCTTTTCGATCTATTATTAAAGATTAGTGGTTGTTAGTTTGTATGTACCACTGCTACATTTCACCTGGAACATAGCTGAGAAGGAAGAAAAATTGTGCGCACAATTCTCACGTGTGGCATTGTCTTAAAATGTTCCAGTCAGACTCATATCTCATGCGAGATGAATAGCGTTCTCCCGACGGCTATTACTTCACTAAAATCTTTTTGTTCTCTGTTTGTTACCTTAGTTTTTCATGAATATTTTATATTTTTCTATAACGTGAAAGATCATTCACTTATCGACACATAAAAAACGAAATTTATAGGCTTTTACCAAATCTAGGTGACTTATTGACACCAATTGATACGTTTCAAAAGAGCAAAGCTATGTTTTTTCAATATATTATTTTTCATTTATTTACGTTTAAAAATAGAAGACACGTGTTTAAATGATTAAAAATACTTTTTATCTATACTTATAGATTATGTGTGTTCAAAAACAGCATTTCTTAGTTCAGCAGTAGTTGAAAGCCGGTAGCTAGAGGTTATCTGTATCAACGTTAAAAGCGGCCAAGCGCGAATCGTTTTTAAGTCGGTCATAAAGACGCAACGTAACCTTACGATTTTTGACGTATGTGTAATGAGAAATAAGTTTAAGTAGGAATTTTCAAAAATTCTTGACAGCAAGACAGTAACGTTTATAGGTATTTGTTTCTAATTCTAAGAGTTTTGTTTTTAGACAAGTATAAAAACCTTTTTTTAGTTTAATTTTAATAATTATAAATTTTTTGTTCGCTTTTAACTAGATTTTACTATTTGTCACGTTTGAAAAAAGATAGTTTTGAGAGGTATTTAATATGAAGTAAGCAACTATAAAATCTTTTTAAAAGACTTCAAGCAAGTTGATTTACTCGTGGAATGTAAATATTTTAAATGAATTCAAAGTCAGTTCGCAACATTTTTAAATGAGTGAACTAACTTTAAAATATGCTGTTTTACTTTATTGTTAGTACATTTTACTTTATTGTTATTAAGTTAAACAGAATTATTCGTAGGTAGCGTGGGTTCGATGTGGGTTTTCTTGTCAGGGGAAAATCATCAAATAACTTCTCGCTCAGGGTAAGGCGAGAGAGTGTGTCAGACTTTTACTGACTAAAAACACCCCCGTTCCTTTGCCAGCTCTGGGCCGAGGCCGCGGTGAACCCTGGCTGAACATCAGCCCTGTAGGGTCCTGCCTGTGGTGGTCTATTGGCTCTTTGAGGCGCGCGCGGAACACTACGCGCCTTCCGCTCGGGTCTGGTTTTGGTCGGGCGGCGAGCTACCTTTACTCGCCGTCAGCAGACCCGCGTATACGGTGGCCGGTAGGGGTGAAATAAAGTTCGACACACGATTAACAGTGAATAACTAATATTATCAGGCATTTTATAAGGATAAACTAGTGATAACAAAAACAATGGTGTCATGTGTTTGTCATAAAGTTCGCAGTGCAGGGCGCGTGTGTCACGGTCACCAGCGCGGGAGTCTATTCTCGTTTCGCGCCTACGCAAGCGGCGAAGCGGTCAGTGGCGGGGTAGTAGAATAGGGGTGTGAAAACGCTACGCGCAAGTGTCCGACAGAAACTAATGGAATACCGCGATACAAACTTATTTTTTGTAGATTGTAGAATCTCATTCAAATTAGCTATTATGCAGTTGCAAAGTATTTTCTTATGACTTATGACGTATACACACGGCGACATATCAAACTGTGAACCAATATAAACTGGCCGTTGAGAGTGAGGAAAAAATCTACAAACGCAAGACTATGATAAACTGGATGGATATTAAGCGTGTGTAAAATGTTGTATACAAGCATATACTCTAAACTAGCTGACATCGCATCTTGTAGAAATTGTAAAGTCATTTTCGTAACAACAAGGGCTCGTTTTGCGGTGACGCAGTGCGGGGAGCGTTGTTCAGCGCATAGTATGTTGCTAATCGCATGTTTAATAGAAAACAGAACTAACTCATAAAATAGGGTATTTCAAAATTGAATCTTATTAATAAAAAACCTGGCAAGTACAAAAGTAGTAAGCAAGTTGCTTTCTATGATTATTTAGACTCCACTGACATACGGTAAAGGAAAACAACTTAACGAAACCTGGGCTTATTATTTCTAATTATAAGTTGCCATGGACTTATCATGTCACCAATCCGTGTTGAGCAAGCGTGGTAATTAATGCTCAAACCTTCTCCGTGTAAAACACGTATTTGCTCAGCAGTGGGCATTTATAGGCTGATAATGACAAAGGAGAAAATCCTAATTTGGGAATGTTTTTTTTTACAAAAAAGTAATACTTCAACTAATTATCCTTATATTAAAGACTTTATCCTTTTTTTAAAGCCATGATAATGGATTCCAAATTGAGTAACCATGTTTTTCGTAGTTACTTTTTCAGTTGCCAACCACTAAAATCCAATTTTAATAATGGCTTCTTACTATATTAGTATATTTCATTTCAAGTACTGTTTGCTTAATATTTAATGGGAAGTAAGGTAAATAATCCCTTTTATAAAATCATAATTTAATTAAGTGTCTTACTAATAAAGCTGAGTAGGTAAACTTAACTATCAATTTTATTAACGAAGTGGTTATTTGAATGAATTATGAGGTCTAAAATTGTTTTTAACTGCTGAAAAACTATTTACGAATTTAAAACGTTGATTTTCAAAATATCTAATAGTTCTTAGTAGTATTTTGAGTATATATCAAATTCAATAATGACACACTTTATCTTCATTTTAGATTCTTTTTTTAACTAGATAATTTTAAATTATAGTATATTAATAATAGAACCCTATTAAATTATGACACAATATGAAGTCTCGTAGTAACTCCGCAGTACTAAAATAATATTTTTTCATATTTCGAAAAAGTATTGAAAAGTGACTAAATACCGACTTATATCTAAAAGCTTTCTTGCTAAAAATTACGACTAAACTAGGCAATGTGTATACGTATTTATATGGTATAAGTCATGCGCGGGCATGCGGACGGCGAGTAGGGCAGCTCGCCGCCCGACCAGAACCAGACCCGAGCGTACCGCGCGCGCTCAAAGAGCCAATAGACCACCACCACAGACGGGGCCTTATAGGGCTGATGTTCAGCCGGGGTTGCGGGATAAGCGCAATGAGGCACCGCGACCTCGGCCTAGAGCAGGAGAAGGAACGGGGGGTTTTTAGTCTGTAAGAGTCACTCTCTCTCGCCTTACCCTGGGCGGGAAAAGTCATTGTATGATTTTCACCTGAAAAAAGTGGTGTAAGTCATAAACATGTAATGCACTGAAATATTACTTAAAATAAAAATAAATATCCATATTTTAACGAAATGGGAAAATGACCATGATGGCATTTTATTGATTGATTCATTGTATAGGAAATTCAGAATAATAAATTGGCTGAAGCAACTAGCCAATTAAAAAACTGCCAGCGCAGACTGTTTGACCCAGCTCATCTGACTTATATAAGTTAAATCATTTGTTCCTAAAAATACAATTAAGCCACTTACATGACAAACCTTCTCCGGTTCTTCCGTGAGAAGAGGCCTTTGCTCAGCAGTGTGCCCTTATGGGCTGATGATGATGATGATGACATGACAATACAAAAATATGATTTAGTTTAATTATTAAATTAACCATAACGTAACACAATCGTAACAACATTAGAGACTAATGGTGTTACGATTATAGTAGTAGTAAGTCAAAGTCAAAGTCAAAACCATTTATTTCACAGGCCCCTTTCCCTTACAGGAACTTTTAAACGTAAAACAAAATTTAAAGATATGAGAATAAGTTTCAGTCTGTCGGTCAGTCTTCTTAGTAAAACTATTTGTAATAAGTAAAGTAATATCATTCGCCAATAAGGTAGTTTAAAATAATAATAGCGACAAAATGCATAATGTGTACCAGGTAGGCACCCACCCAAATTTTTTTTTTTTATTTATTTACACATATAAATATTACTCGACTGGATTAATGTAACTTTAGATAAGAAAGTTTTCTATTATGTATACATTTAAACGGTTGAGATTTAAAAATGTTGATGAGTTTATATATGCAGACACGTCTGGGTTAAGTTGCAAGGCTGAGCTAACTAGTGTCAGCAAGTCTAATAGTACTCAAGCTATCCTCTTTGACTCAAGCGTACTCGCTTAACCTGAACACAGCCAGAAACAACTATTAAGTGCCAATTCACAGTTTACCGTCCATAAAACTTTAACAAAGGAGTTTTCGTTCTTTCCTAGATTAAAAGAATTTAGTTAAAAAGCAGTCTTTGTGGGAGAATTGAGGAATAAATTACTAATTATTGTATGGACTTTATGGCTTAGCCTCAGTTTCATAAAGTTTTCAAATTTCATGAAGTGTGATTACTATGTTGGAACTATGTAGGAAGTAGTGGTTTCTAAGCAATACATTTTGAGTGGCTTTTTTAAGAATCACCTTTTAATGCTACTTCAAAATAAGTAAATGATGTCTGGAAGAAATCACCGTGTGTGATAAGACCGTCCATTGTACATTCTGTGGTTGTGAGCCTGCTCCTTGAGTAAAAATTTTTAATGATGTGTACAATAAAGAATATATCAATAAATAAATAAAGGAAAAATATTCTAAATTTAATTTTATGTTAAACCTTTCTATCGTGGTAATTTGAGACACAATAGAAAAACAATAGGTTCGAACGCCGGCGTTCGCTTAGGGTTTGATGAATTATTGTTCTTGTATACTCTATCTACAATTTTACACGTAATACGAACTTAAATAAAGGAGTATGTAGATTTTTTCTAGCTTTATCGTATGATAAACCAAACTTAAAAGTACTAAATACACAGTTAACATCTCAACGGATAATTTGTCATAATAACAACCATTCTTGCATACCTGAAGCTGTAACATCAAATTATCAATATTTAATTTAATGAGCTTACTTCCATGCACTGAATAATGTGAAACATCAGGCTGAATCCTGTTCAAATTTAAATCAATATTCAATAATAAGTGTAAACATTACATCTTAATTAAAATGGTGACAACACTGTTCCTTTTCGTTGCGTAGCTGGAAGCTTCTGAATCAAATTGGAATGGAAATTTCAAATTGAATTGACGCTCTGTCAGATGCAAGTAAAAGACTATTATGTTCTCAGTTGGCTGTGCACCAGAGACTAATGCTTTGTTTGTTAGAACACACATTCGTACAACGTGCTTGTAAACTGTTTCATTACAATGGATGATTATATACACTGCAGTGACATGACCTAATTTGGATGGACAGCTTTTTATGGGATAACTAGCGGTCCGCCCCCGCTTCGCACGGGTCCAACTATCTCAATCTCATCTAATAATCTCCGGTAACCTCACTCACACGGCGAAACACAACACTGTGGTTATTTCACGCCAGTTTTCTGTGAGGCCGTGGTATCACTCCGGTCGAGCCGACCCATTCGTGCCGAAGCATGGCTCTCCCACACTTAAAAATAATAATTACACATTTATTTTTTCATAATTACAGCCTAATCACTACTTCTCCCCCATCCCTTCCTTATCCTTAAATATCCATAACTCTTATCCCTAAAAGGTCGGCAACGCACTCGTAACTCCTTTGGTATTGCGGGTGTCTATGAGCGGCGCCCATGGCTTGCCATCTCGTAATTCGTGAGCTCGTTTACCGTCCTATCACGTAAAGAACACCATCAAAATTAGCCAGAATATATTTGTTTGTTGACGTCTTTTTTTTTTAAATCCACAGTTTCACTAAATGACGGTCGTAATCTATTATTCCTAAACAGCTAATCAATGTGAAAGCCCGCGGCTGGCCAAGCCTGGTTAGTTAAGCTTCGGATTAACTGTTAATAGATAACAATTGATTGTGACAAATCGATGTTTGTTTACTTAAACCGTGACGTGTAATGTGATACATGAGTTCATATCAACATTCAACCGTTCCTGGGCTTCTTCTACATATTGGAAGGTTTTCTTTTGATATTATATACCTACTCAAGATATGTACCTACTTATGAGAAAATGTTGGATTTTCTTAATCGACTCTTATGACGCCCACGGCTAGGAGAGGTGGTAATCAATGATATAAATTACACTTTGTGATAAATGTATAATAATACTATATACTAGCGACCCGCCCCGGCTTCGCTAGGTGCAATTCTGATCTTGAATTTCCCCCAGTATTCAAAATCCTCATCATAATCCGTTGCGTAGTTTTTAAGATAAGCATACATAGGAACGTAGATAGCTGTGAAAACGACTTTGTTTTATACTACACAGTGATTATAAACACTTTTATTGTCTGCCATCGTATATGTGTAGGCTATAAGATTGATTTATTTAGTCACATTTAACATAAATGCAGATAAACAGAATATTTATTTAGATTTTCTATCCATTCATAACGTCACATTATCGGTAGGACACAGATGCTGCGTCTGCAATCATTTTGAATAAACTTGTTCACAGATGTTTGAACATTCGCATGAATGAAAATTGTGATTTATGCATATTATTACTTTCTGACTAGCGTTGAAGAGATATAAATCCTTCTGAATTTTTTCTATTTATATAATAGCGAATCATCCACCTACGCAACAATAGAAAATGTATTAAATACAAAAAGCAAAACAAAATATCGGACCCAAACAGATGTTACTTAGACAAAAGTTCCAGAAATTTTACGAAACATGAACATAGTAGCCAAACATAAGCATATCTTTACAATATACATACGTAACCAAGCAACATTTGTTGTATTGATTTCGCTATTTTGTTAGATTCCTAGAAGTAATCTTATTTTTCTGTATCAATTCTCATTAAATGGTATATCATATAGCAGTCTAATGAAAATGGTAAATGATAGACAATAACAGAATATTCTGAAAGTAATTTATGGTGTTTGTTTCAGGTAACTTGCTCGTTATCCTCGTGGTTACTTTATCGAGGCGGCTACGCTCCATAACCAACTTCTTTTTGGCGAACCTCGCCGTGGCAGATTTATGTGTTGGCGTGTTTTGTGTCTTCCAAAATTTGACTATATATCTTATACCGAGGTGAGTGAATTGAAGCATCAGGTAAACAACATAACATGTAAACACGCCGTGTTTTAAACAGCACGTTGAATGAATTAGTGGTTAGTAGAAGGCTTGAACCGGTCAAATGGAAAAATAATGGGTGCGCGGAAAAGTATGGCGCAAAGTGCCTAAAACTTTGTTACTATCAACAGCTATATTTTTTAGGATATATGGATATATCTAAAATACTATTTTTATAACTTATAAACATTTAATATGGGTAATGGTGAATTGATATGCGAGTAATTGGAGTGTCAAAACAAAGCGGAAATTCTCGCGGTAGCTCTAATTAAATACTAAGCATTTTCCCTAAGGATTGATCCTTAAGGAAAATGTTGCGATGTTCAAACGAACAATACGTAAAAAGGAAATTAAATAAAACATGATTTTAAAAAAAATCTGATGAACGCATTTTTCACCTCTCGTATTTTTTGTGACCCCAACAAATTCTAAACCTATTGGGATAGGAGATAGAGGTCATATTTTCTTAACTTATTGTTGACAATTTGCCAGTGTTATACTCTCCAGGGATTACAATCACGTCTGATCATTCGGTATTAGGCATATTAGTGTATCATGTTATACAGACTATGTAAACAAGGTCTAATGTCGAACGCTTGTTCGTTTAATTAATCCCAAATGAACCTTTTGTTTACTTTTCGTTACCTTTTTTAATTCAGTCATGACTAACCTCTTTCTTTTATGTTTATGGTATGGTGTTTGAATTTTCAGAAACAAAATAAATCGTTCTGTTGTTGCACTTTTCTAAGATTTAAATGAGTTTGTTTACACAATTACTTTGGATCAATGGGCATTCCTTTTTCGTGTGCAACGAGGCCTTTTCTCAGTAGTGATACATTTACAGGCTAACTATAAAATTCAAGATATCAAATATTTAAAATAATTGTAGTGCTGAACGTAATTTAAAATATTGGTATGATTGTGTAATTTAGGTAAAATTTAAATGTTTTCACGAATCTAAGCTTTCTTGTTTTATGTTAGGCACTCAGAATTTAACGAAATTCATTAATTAATTAATACTCGAAGGGATTATTTCTAAATAACTTTACGTTCGACATAACTTTACAGCAATGTTTGAGAGACACAAATTGTAAAGGAGAATGGAAGTTGGGCACAAAAGATCGTACTTTGTTTATTGTACAAACATTTCGTTTTCAAGAGCTTGTACATCCGTATACTGCGGATATTTTAAATATATATCATCAGCATCAGCCCATAAGTGCCCGCCCACTGCTGAGCAAAGGCACGAAGAAGGTTAGAGCATTAATCACCACGCTTGCTCAATGCGGGTTGGCGATTTCAAACTTATAATTTCCTCACGACGTTTAACTTTACCGTATGTCAGTGGTGTCTAAATAATTATAAAAAGTACATGCATATAACTTGGGAAAAGTCACATTGGTACTTGCCAGGTTTCGAACTTGAGATTAGAGAACTCATGCATGAGAAGCGGCCTCCGGGCCACCACGACCTTTTATATATATTAGAATTATATATTCTGAAAATGTTTAATATGTGGGAGGAAATAACGTTTTTGACATGTTAATGTTAAATACGGAAGTTAATGGCAGAGTTCAGAGTGCTCCATCGGCCTTGTGTCCATCGACTAAGCATTGATTACTCTGTCATCAACATGAAATACTATCTCCCTTACACAATAGGTAATTGTTATAGGATATTATACTACAAATTAGTAATATTTCCTTGTTACACCTGGCTGGAAGGTAAATCATTGTATTGTTTTCTCACTAAATAAAACAGTACTTAATAGATCCTCTAGGAAGATATTATGAGGGTAGATCATTTTTTATTAGGCAAGTGTGGGAGAGCCATGCTTCGGCACGAATGGGTCGGCTCGAACAGAGTGATACCTCGGCCTCACAGAAAACCGGCGTGAAACAACCACAGCGTTGTGTTTCGCCGCGTAAGTGAGGTTACCGGAGGCTTAATCCTTCCCTTCCCCCAATCCCTACTCAATTCCCAATCCCTAAAAGGTCGGCAACGCACTCGTTACTCTTCCGTTGCGGATGTCCACGGGCGGCGCTGATTGCTTACCATCAGGTAATCCGTATGCTCGTTTGCCGACCTAAAAAAAAGGTGAAGTGTGCGATAATGTTTGCTTCGGCACGAATGGGCCGGCTTGACCGGATTGATACCACGGCCTCGCTGATTATATTATACGACTGGTGTAAAAGAACGCTTGAGTTTTACAATGTGAGTCGGGTTACGGGGGACCCAAAACTGCCCGCCCCTTCCCCTGCTCAAGCACATTACTTTCACATTTATAATATTAGTTAGTAAAGTAGGTAAATAGTTAGTAATATACATATAAAGTGCGTGTAAACATATTTTTTGAATTTCTAGGAATTTCGCCTACTGTTTTGTAATATCACAAACAAAACCTTTCCAGAGAATTTGATATCGTAAATAAGTTATGACGTCGAAATAGAAACACGAAATCACAAGCATAGCCACTAGTCATGTTCAGAGATTTGTGTTCGCCCTTCAGATGAATCCTGAAATATTAAAGGATTATATATATCATGAGAATTCGTGACTGGCACTTGTAAGAGTGACCGGCTCGGCCGAGTGTAATGATTGATGTTAGTTTCCCAGTTTAGTACACATCTTTACATATGTGTGTGTAAACTTCAGGGTGAAATTTAATAGATGTGACCAATTTTAACATGCAATAATACGTGTGGTCAAGAAAATTTAGAACACATCAAATGTAAAATAAATAAACTTTTAAAATATGTAAAAAAAGGTGAATGATTGCTATGAAACGGAAACGTTTAATAGCATGCTGCACTGCGATAATTATGTCGGACGAGATTTCTTGATATTTAAATTTTTCTTATTTATTTTGCATATTAATTATTTTTCTGGAATACTGTAGTAAATCAGTAAATCAGTAATTCGTACTTAAATAAAGATAAAAACGTCAATAAACCATTTTAAAACGATAATCACGTCATTTTATTAATGTTCTTAGATTGTAGAAAAAGCAGTTTATAATTACTATGTCACTGTAACTGAAGCTTCCATTTCATTTTGTCGCATTTATTCGATTTCAGCCTGTATATCTGTGAAAGTGTGACTTGTGTAACTTGTGTAATAAGCTTGTGTTGTATGCTAAAGGACTTAATGTATACCTTATACGGGGTATAAAATCAAGCTCTGGGCGACTACACCGACTTTTCCCGAAATTGGAAATCCCAATGCGTAGGTACCTACTGCCCGTCATGACAATCAAACAAAGACCCGCGCCCAGCTTTCAATTTTGACCACCAAATTAAGTTTGTTCCTAATTGAAACTAGAATTATTTCTATGATAAACTTTCAAATTCAAAGATTTAATCAATTTGATGCAAATAACGTTTAGTACAATCTTGTTATGCCTAAATATCGGCTCTAACCTAATTAGGAATCAACAACAATGAAGTTTTATTGTAATAGGTATTAAATTTCGGTACACTTATTTATAACACGAAAACTTTAGGTAGGTACCTAAAATCCGTAAATTTGTGAATAGTGGTTCTGCTTTACTTTTCTAATTAAAGGGGTAAGAGCAATAACGCTTGGGACAGTGGTTGGCCAACTGCCTGCTGTGCAACGTGTCGCGGGTTAGATTCCCGCAAGTGACAACACTTTGTGTGCATCCATTAATTGTTGTTTCGGGTCTGGGTGGGTTCTGTATACGAATTTGTATGTTTATAAATGAAGCCACGACATAGGAGAAAACCCAACTGTAGGGCAAAATTTTTTTAAACAAAAACATTATAAAATTGTTTTGTTAACTGATGAATAGATGGTTTAGAAAATAAGTCTGATTACAATTATTTATTTATTATTTTCCTCTCACCAATAACTTTAGATGATCAAGTTTATTTTCTGCATTCAAAAACAATGTTTTATTCAAAAGAATCTGAGTTGAGATTGAGACTTTTTGTGTTACTCTTTATCTGAAGTATTTGGGAGCACTGAAGTATGGCTTTTGAGGTCCTCTCCTATTGTTATCTTGGGCGGTGAAAATGTGCTCAGGTTATCTTCATTCTATTTTTTATAATTTTGATGACAAAAGTTTTGCACCAGGGCCGTGATACAGCAAAAAAATCTGTAATTGACAAAGAGGTAAATGCGGAGCTGTATTTTAAAAAAATCACTTACTTTTTACAATTAATTATTAGCAACCATAAACATATTATTAACGTTTAGCAATATAATTATTTATAACAAAAGCCACGATTTGAGAAATTTTATTTACAATATTCATTACATAATTTTGATAATATTAATTTATTTATTATTAAGCATGAGAAGTTTATTAAAGCTTTATTATATTATTTTTGTACTTTGACTTATCACCCTCGCTCGTTGGTGATTTAAATAGTTTAACAAATTAAACGTATTAATCTTATTGCGAGCAGACACTTTTTGTAAGTCCAAACTTAATTTACGTACTTAGTTTTAGATATTGTTCTGTACATTAACAATATTATCTAAAACAGCGAGATAAAATGTTAAATGAAACAAACTTGATTTATTCAAAACTATTGTTGCTATTTATGTGTTCTGAATTATTTATTTTTAGCCCACTACACAATAAACACCAGTGGCTTTTGTTATACATTTTTTTTATGTGATAGGTCGGCAAACGAGCTAGCGTATGCCTGATGGTAAGCAATCAGCGTCGCCCATGGACAACGCAACGACGGAGGAGTTACGAGTGCGTTGTCGACCTTTTGGGGATTAGGGATTTGGAGATTTTGGGAAAGGGAACGGATTGGGGTAGGGGAAGGATTGGGCCTCCAGTAACCTCACTTACACGGCGAAACACAACTCTTTGGTTATTTCACGCCGGTTTTCTATGAGGCCGTGGTATCACTCCGGTCGAGCCGACCCATTCGTGCCGAAGCATGGCTCTCCCACATTTAAAATAAACTGATATGAAAATAGACATTATTAAATTGTAAACCCTATTGTGGTTAGGATTAAAGGGACAAGTTGAATTATTGAGGTAATAATATCATCCAATATATTGTTGGTCGTTAAGGATAGTAAACTAGACCCTTAAACGTTAAATCAATTAGTATATAAGGCGTACCTACGTAATTAATTACACTGCTTGGCAAACAGTGGTAGTTAGGCCTCAGATATTGTTAAGAACTTGGTCTCATGTAGCTTACTCTAATGTCTACGGCCTTAAGATTGAATTTATTCCGTACATTATATAGAAGAAGAAACTACTTTATTTGTTTTACAAGTTTAGTTTTTCATTAGTTGAAGTAACATCTAAAATATTAGTGTAAGTAGAAAACAGTTAGTAAGACCTTTTTGTGTGAAAACCTCTTTCTAAAAATTACTTTATTTTAGTGTCTATTTCTACTTTCATACATATTGTTATATTAAATTATATTATTTTACGTAAAATTATAATAGGTAACTTGATTAAATAAATTCATTCCTAATATCTAATCTTATTTTTTTATTTACAGTTGGGTGTTCGGTGACTTCCTATGTAAAATGTACCAGTTCGTACATTCGCTGAGCTACACGGCGTCCATATTTATCCTCGTGGTGATATGCACAGAAAGATACTTCGCTATAATACACCCCATCACTTGCAAGCAAATCCTCACTTCGACGCGGCTTAGGGTAAGATTCCGTGTGTCACAAACAAAACGGCGAACGCGACACGAGGGAACGATTTCATCTGAATTGACTTCCTCAATTCTCCGACTAGGTCGACATTTCTGAATAACTTCGTAAACTATTCAGAGACGACAAAATACAGTTCATTTCGTGCGACCGTTCGCTGTGGTATTGAACAATCTATCAAAGTAATATAATTATCTAATTTCACAGTCTCCTGGAATTGATTTCACTTGATTAAGTTCATTTGCGTAGTCTTAGAACCAAACAGTTCTGTTCTATTTAAAATATTCAAACACAAACATTGCATTTTAATCCTTAACTCTCGTTTATCTTATCTGTGTCTTAAGAAAGATAAGAATGAAGAATAGCCGTAAGCGTAAGAAAAATGTAAAAAAAAACACCAAAGGCAAAGTAACAGTATTTCAATGTTAAAAGTTTGCAAGTTACTGCTAAAGCAATTTTGTATCCAGCGCTGCATAGTCCGAACAGTGACAGCATAATCTCAATCCCACTGTAGCGTGCGAAATATAATTAGCAAGTTTGCTCTGACTCTCAGCTAAAAAGCCGACAGACTACTGAAAATGTCCAGACGTCGTCACATCCGCCTGAAAAGAGTTTTTTACCGATAAGGAATTTTATGAATCTAGGTATAGCTAAAAGTGTTATTATTGGTAAAGTGTCTAAAGAATAGAACATTTCCTAGTGATATTAGACGGTTAACTTTGTCTGTTAAGCTAGGAGGACTTTAAATCTCACTAGCGCCAGCTGGTGAGCAAAATATCAATATTTTGTCAGCCGTCATGTTGCTATCGTCAGTTATTAAAATAAAAGAGCGACGCTCGAAATTTAAACGAAAATTTATTTTATATTTTAAAGTTTTGTAAAATTTTGGAAATTACCCCAACCGTGGTAACGGGTCTCACATATTGTTTTTATGACAGCACTATATTTAGACGAGCCAGTAAAAGGTCGGTACCGGATATTATAACTTCCGTGAAACACATTGTTTACAATTTATTTTCCCGCATATATTATGTATTCATTTTGTTGGATTCGTTCCGTTTAATAAGTATTTATAAATGTCAGGAATCGATAAATTTCTAATTATGTAATTTAAAATCTATATAAACTCTGTGAGTTATTTAAAATATCTGCAAAGTAGAAACAAATTTCTAAACTTATAATAAAAGTCTGATAGAGCAGCTAAAAGGAAGACTTCAGAGATTTTTGCATGATAATAATATATTAAAAATATTCTTTGACAGTTGGTGATTCTTGGCGTTTGGATTACCAGTGCAGCGTACAGCGCTCCTAAGTTCATTTGGGTCGAGACCATAACGAATGACCTGGGCGACGGGCACATGGAAACAATATGTATCCCGCATCGAAGGAAATACAACTCTGAATTATTTGACATGGTGAACTTCGGCCTTCTCTACGTGACCCCATTATGCGTCATGACGGTAAGTGAAAATAGATATTATTACGAATACACGTAAGTACAAAATCCAACAAATCATGATATAACGTGTGATAACGCGCAAATAACCTTCTCAAATACAGCGTTTCAAAATTTATGGCGCGAAATAACGACGTTCTGTCCTTAATGTGTTCTTATTTTAAACATTTTTAACTGAAGGTGCTGGCTGATAAACTTGGCCTTTAACGAGTATTTTTTCTAATAGAATTAAAATATGGTACTAATTCAGAAGTTACAATTTTTAACGTCAGATATTTTATCTACTTTCTAGTCGAGTTGTTACCGACAACAGCGAGGTTTGAAATCTTTAGACCTATCAAAAATGTCCAATAGCTAGAGTAAATATTTATAAGAAGTATTTGTATCGCATCGTGTATTTGTATGCATTGGTGAGCAATCGATGCCTCTCATGAACAAAAAATGAGAAGATGCGACACGGCGAAACCCAACGCGGTGTTGGTCCACGTCGGTTTTCTGTGAGGCCGAGGTATCACTCTGGTTGAGCCGTCCTATTGAAGCTTGGCTCTTTTACTATTATCCTACTATTTTCAACTTACCTTATCAAAATAACTGAAAAATGTAACTGGCAAAATGTCGGCGGTAAATTAAAGAGAACACCTTTGTCTTTCCTTCAGGGAATTAATTTCCTGAACTACAAAGCTTAGCATAACTATAAAATCATAACGATTATTATATTGTAGGATGAAAACGTGGGTCTGACATTAAAAATGTTTAGGTAGTTGTTCCAGTCCAAAATTTAATTTGTGCTAGTATCTAAACAACCGTCTAAACAAATTAAAACTTCGTTACAACCCAATAAAATAAGATTATTATTATGTTTACTATCGAATATTGTTTGATCAACCTTCTTTTGATGTTATAGTTATATACAAGGGATTTGTGCTAATATTGTCATCTAATATTATGGAGTTGAAGATTGTTAGTTTGCTTGTTTATTCTTTGTTAACTTGAACGCGCTGATCTACGAAACTACTGATTGGAATTGAGAAAATCTTTTAGTGATTGATAGCTTATTTATTGGGAAGAGGATAGGCTAAAATATAACTTTGATTACGACCAATGTGATTTGAGATGTTGGAGAAACCGCGCCAGATTATCTAGCGTAGCATAATTTTTTGACAATAGCCTCGATTCTGATTCAGTTAAATCTGTGTTACGCCATCTTTTTTCGATTGCTGACGTCACTCGTCGGGTGACGATCGACGGACACAATTTGCGACAGATATTGGATACTAGACAGCTGGACAAAGAGCTTATCAAGTGAAATTCATTCCAATACAGCAACTTGTACTCGGTGCTAACGTTTTATGAAAAGTATTCGAATTCGCTGATATTACGTTCTACATTATGAAACTTTGTGGGGAATGAGATAGATTTTTCCATAGATAGGTAAATGTGCCACACTGATACGTAAATTAGTCAATCTCGTCAATATCTGAATAAATCCAATGTTGTTAACATGCACAATATTGGTTTTCGGATGTTCGTAACTCGTGACGACAGAGATATACATTTTATTTCTATTTGTTGTTTAAGTTGCTACAGAAATACCTACAACATCTGTTAAGATTTCAGCTGAGATGAGTGACAGACAGATAGATAGATGGCTGAACGGCGTAGTAGTCGTAGTAATAGAATTTCCGTTACAGGACCCTAATAACATCACCTTCACTACGTTAAACGCTTACGGGTATCAAAGAAGTGCTTCGATAGAGACATGACATGAGCTTTCTTTGTTATTCCCACGCTTATGTCGTAGAGGAGGAGGCAGGCAAATGGTGGGGCAGCTACAAGGCTGATAATGATTTAATGTTTTTTTTCCTATTTTCATAAAACGCTGCCCCACATTATGATTTTACACCTGTGTTTGGCACTTACCCAGTCACAGAACAACAATCACACAAAGAGGTGTTCCGTGTGGGCCACTCACCGCTACTATAATAAAATGGAGTAATGAATTTATTTTTATATGTACCTGAGCTATAGGACAGTACTTCTTATACGTAAAAAATTTCCATCTAACTAGCCCGAGAACTGAAAAGAAATGTTGAAATTAACTCAAGGTTAAGAATAGAATATCTTTACTTTTGTTGTTGTATCCATCCATGCATGTAACTAATGAATTGATTAGAACTACTAACTACTAACTGTTTGTTTCCAAATTTACAGTACTTGTAGTACATAGAGCCATGCTTCGGCACGAATGGGTCGGCTCGACCGGAGTGATACCACGGCCTCACAGAAAACCGGCGTGAAACAACCACAGCGTTGTGTTTCGCCGCGTAAGTGAGGTTACCGGAGGCCTAATCCTTCCCCTCCCCCAATCCCTCCTCAATTCCCAATCCCTAAAAGGTCGGCAACGCACTCGTTACTCCTCCGTTGCGGGTGTCCATGAGCGGCGCTGATTGCTTACCATCAGGTAATCCGTCTGCTCGTTTGCCGACCAATTACATAAAAAAAAAGATTGTAGTACATATCACGCATACCTAATTTTGCATGACTTGTCTACTGCTCATATTTGCAAATTCTGAACTAATAATGTTCATTTAAAATCTACTGAAATATACACCGAGAGTCTTTTTATCAACTCATTTACACATAAAATTTTAACTCGAATATTTTCTAGTTATGCCGCTTCACGCCTGTGAGCTTGTTAAAAGTTTTATCAATAAAAATAAAGGTATTATTTTAAGTAGTTTTTTCAAAAGCACATTTAATTTATATGCATGATAATAATAGGCAGTATAGCCTTATCGTAAAGAACAGTCATAGGTTTTCTCATATCGTGCTGCGTGCTAATTAACAAACGCCTACATATTATACATAGTATTTAAAAGATTCATTCTTTATGGAATAGAGCGGTAAACGAAAAAACCTAAGAATATAACCTGGAGGGGAGAATTGGGCCTGCGATGACCTTTCATTCAATTACTATTCAATTACTCTACTCATTCATTCAAAGTATTAGTTGCAAGTCAGTTTTCTGTCAAGCCGTCGTGTCATTCCGATCGAGCTGGCAATTGTGCCGGTCTCCCATACTCAATAGTTATTATTTCGTTAAAAGTGAAAAATTATAATCTCATAGAACATAGCAGTGCAACGAGACAGTCATATTATTACATTAAACAATGAAGTCGGGATAATTTATTTTCGGTCTGGTCCGGTGTCCTATTTTGAATGAAGGACGAGCGACCACACTTTCGTAGTCAGCGTACCTAATAATATAACAAAAAATATTTACGAAATGTAAAAGACGGACCTGCCTAGCGCACTCGGTGTAAAATCGGGACTCGTTAAAACTCTAACGTCAGGTCTTGAATATTTTAATACAGAAAACGGGATGTTCGTAAACCAGAATTTTAATGATCATGTGGGATGTTTGTATACTCGTGAATGTTTCCGACTATCAAACTATACGTGCTTAAATGATACAAGCTTGCTTTAATGCCAAAATCAACGGACGTACATGTCATACAAAATAAACATTTTCCTGCTTGTTATTTGGGAGTTATAAGCTTTTTATTGGATCTTACGTTGCAGCGTTTATATCCTACTTGTAAAAATCTATACTAATATTATGAAATGGGTAATCTTTGGAACCGCTGGTCGGATTTCCAAAATTCTTTCACTGATAGATACGTTAATAAAATATTTGCAACTATTGACTGACTACTTATTAGATAAGCATTTATTCCATTGATTTCTTAACGATTCACTTACAAATGAATATGCATATCATGACCAAAAATATTTTCCTAATAATATTCAAATTATACAGATTTATTCGATTTACAGTTCAGCAAACTATTCACATTGATTATGTAAAATAACAAAACATGTCAACATCCCACTCTCATCTAAGTTTAAGAGTTTATTTCTAGCGTAGCGCAAACATTACCCTTCTTCGTTCTAACATCGGATGCCGAGCAAATAAACTAGTAGAAATTATCGGCTAGGTTAGTCTATTTCTTCCATAAGAACATAAAATCTATGTACCCTACAAACGACCTAAATAACTTTAAACAGTAATGTAAAGAATATAAAGCTAACCTTATTTCTGCGACGCCTTCTTTGTAAATATAATAAAAAAAACGAAGGCATTTCTTGAACAGCGGGTTTAAAATTTTACTGCGACATGTCCCGGGATTTCGACAACTGTAATCTTAATATTGTCAAGGTAAAAGTGGTTGTAAAAAGAAATTGGCGATGGTTAGTCTTATTTGAAAAATGTGGAGGTAGGTAAAATTTTAAACTAAAGAAATCGGTATATAGTAAACTGTAGTGTGTCTGTAACAAAAAACATGCTCATGTTTTTTTTGTGAAATAAATCGGCAAATTAGCAGACTGATTACCTGATGGTAAGCAATCGGTTGCGCCCATGGTTACCCGCATATAAGGATTGGGATTTGCGATAGGGGAGGGGAGGGATTGGGCCTCCGGCAACCTCACTCACACGGCGAAGCATAACGCTGTGGTAATTTCACGCCGGTATTCTGTGAGGCCGTGGTATCATTCCGGTCGAGCCGGCCCAATCGTGCCAAAGCTTGGCTCTTCCACACTTAATTATCTCGGAAAATATATAGTGTAGACTGAAAAAAAAAACTATATTACATTCGTATCACTGTTGTTTTGATGCAGTAATAAACATCGTTAACTTCGATCATTTATTTATTTTTCAACATCCGCAACAAACTTCGTTTCACGCATCAGTTTTTGATAATTTATTGTTATAAATATAACATACTAGCTACTCTCGCGCGGTTTCACCTGCTGCTCAGCTCCATTGGATCGAAGCGTGATGTTGTATAGTCTATAGCACCCAGGAACATTGTAGCTATCTATCAGTGAAAGAATTTTGGCAATCCGACCAGCGGTTCCAAAGATTGCCCCCTACTTACAAATTTTACCTCTTTATAATATTTGTATAGATTGCTGTCCATGGCTTTGCATCTGTTTTAAGGT